GATCCCAACTTTGGAAATAAATTTGGAATGTCAAAGATGAAGGCACATGTCTGACCAGTGTATACCACTGTACAGACATGGCAAATGAACATGTCTTTCTTAGAAGCAGAGTTTTTCTCATGTCTCACATCATGACATCTTTTCTCCAACTTGCCCAACTAGCCTTCCCACCTGGCAGACAGAATTATTTTCTCTCCCTTCTCTGTCTCTTCCCATATGTCTCACCTGCCCACAGGAGGCAGCACCAAAATGCAATCCTGCTTTATCATGTACCAGCTTGTGCTTTAAGTAGGACCTGCATGGACATGTGCAAACGACCTTATTCCTGGGGCCAAAGTAGAAAATAATATACTTGTAAGACCTTTGGTCAAGGAAAATGACAGTACTTCCTCCCATGAGACAAGTCCTACTGTAATTCATATAACCAGCTCTTAACTCCTGAAGACATCTAACAACAAGAACATAGCTACTATTCTATTACAAAGTTTACACAAATCCTTTTGCTACTTAATATGATCTTTGGGATTATTTTGGTAGTAACTCATCATCTCAAGATGCCTGTACAATTAAAAAAAATAAGCCCTGAAACACTTTGACCGCACTCCCCTCAAGAAAGGTTAGTCTGTAGCTCCAGAATGTCATAATCTTAATTTAAAAATACCACTACCAAGACCATTATCTGCTTCACATTGAAGAAGCTATCACTAATTGTACAATAAGTGAAGGAGAAAATTTTCAGAGTTCTGAGAACTGGAAATCTCTGAATCCTATGCTATAGAATCACAGAATCATAGAATAGTTAGGTTTGGAAAGGACCTTAAGATCATCAAGTTCCAACCCCCCTGCCATGGCAGGGACACCTCACTCTAAACAATACCACCCAAGGCCTCGTCCAACCTGGCCTTAAACACTGCCAGGTAAGGAGCATTCACAACCTCCCTGGGCAACCTCTTCCAGTGCCTCACCACCCTAACAGGAAAGAACTTCCTCCTTATACCCAATCTAAACTTCCCCTGCTTAAGTTTTAACCCGTTACCCCTTGTCCTATCACTACAGTCCCTAACGAAGAGTCCCTCACCAGCATCCCTATAGGCCCCCTTCAGATACTAGAAGGCTGCTATGAGGTCTCCACGCAGCCTTCTCTTCTCCAGGCTGAACAGCCCCAACTTTCTCAGCCGATCTTCATATGGGAGGTGCTCCAGTCCCCTGACCATCCTTGTGGCCCTCCTCTGGACTTGTTCCAACAGTTCCATGTCCTTTCTATGTTGAGGACACCAGAACTGCACACAATACTCCAGGTGAGGTCTCATGAGAGCAGAGTAGAGGGGCAGGATCACCTCCTTCAACCTGCTGGTCACACTCCTTTTGATGCAGCCCAGGATACAGTTGGCTTTCTGGGCTGCAAGCACACACTGAAGCCGGCTCATGTTCATTTTCTCATCGACCAGCACCCCCAAGTCCTCCTCCGCAGGCCAGCTCTGAATCTCTTCTCTGCCCAGCCTGTAGCTGTGTCTGGGATTGCTCCGACCCAGGTGTAGGACCTTGCACTTGGCATGGTTAAACTTCATGAGGTTGGCATCAGCCCACCTCACAGGCGTGTCAAGGTCCCTCTGGATGGCATTCCTTCCCTCCAGCATATCAACCGAACCACACAGCTTGGTGTCATCGGCAGTCTTGCTGAGGGTGCACTCAATTTCACTGTCCATGTCAGCGATGAAGATGTTAAACAAGACCGGTCCCAACACCGATCCCTGAGGGACACCACTCGTTACTGGTCTCCAGCTGGACATTGAGCCATTGACCACAACTCTTTCTGTGCAGCCACCCAGCCAGCTCTTTATCCACCAAGTGGCCCATTCATCAAATTGATGTCTCTCCAATTTAGAGACAAGGATGTCATGTGGGACAGTGTCAAACGCTTTACACAAGTCCAGGTAGATGACATCAACTGCTCTACCGCTGTCCATCAGTTCTGTAGCCCCGTCATAGAAGGCCAAAAGACCTACATTATAATGTAGCTCTATAAAGACCTACATTATAATGTAGCTCTATAAAGACCCACATTATAATCTGATCAACTCTGTTGCTGCAGCTTCTTTACAGTGCCAGTCCTCTTTATATAATCTCTGTATCTCTAACTTGTGATTCTTGCAGCAACTTTTTCTGTGCTCAGCATGTATGTACCTGCATGACTAATGCAAGCAGGGAGACAAGGCAGCACTTTGAACATGATGCACGAACTCCACCAGATGGCACCTAAAGACAACATGACCCACTACTTCTGCATTAAAAACTTACATTCTGCATTACTATTTACATTAAAAAATGCATTCTGCATTTAAAAAGTGCATCTTTTTTTTTTGTTCTAAGGCAAAGGAACCTTCAGGTTCATTATTTTACAACCTAGAATATAAACTCATGCATTGCTGTGATTCACTAGTACACATAGAAATGTTTATAAACTGTGTATTTGACTGATATCAAATGATGAAAGAAAAATGCTACAAAAACGTTAAAAGTACCTGTGAAATTACAACGCTTATATTATGCTCTCTCCTTCAAAAAATTTCCTCTCTGGTGAATGCAGGTACCTTCCTCTTACACCTCAGCATTTTTTTTTCCTGTTTAGCCTTTTTCAGCTAAAAACCTCAATTCTATCTGTTCAGAACAACTTATCTTTCTCTTTTCACTAAGACTGATCTCTAGAAACTGAGAACTGCTGCAGTGGATCAGGGCCAAGACCAAACTTGCTATCTCTTGGCATTCTATCCCCGCTGGTTGTTGTACAGGACAAAAACTTCACAATTTACATACGTCTGCTAGTGAATACCCACATTTCATCACTCCCAGTTAAAGTACTTATACTGGCTTTAACTCTGAAAAATGGCATTAATAGCCTCATCAAAATGCTTATCAATAGGCTATCATTCTTTTCCATGCAAACATCCTTAAACTTGTAAGTTATAGAAATCCTCATGCATCAAACCATGTACCAAAACATTATTGTGAGTTACCTGTAGGCCACTTTAGGACAGTATGAAGCATGCCATCACCAAAGAACAAATAACAGCTAAGACTGTTAATGCTACTTCACTAAAAATATACTATCAGTCTTAAGTGCTACTTCATAAACCAAAAACTTTTACTAAAGATCTAATCTCTTTCTATTTGTCAGTTCTTTTGAAATAATTATTTTTAATTCTTTTTTCTCAGTTCTTTTGAAAGCAGGCACTTTTCCTTATCACTCTCTACATAAGGAATACACTATAAAAATTTCAGATTGGGCTTTAAAGTAATGAGAACCTTACTGGCTTTTTGATACCTCTTCTCTTCCATGTGCACATATAATTACACACACCTTGATATGCTCACATTTTGTTTTTTCTCTACTAAATACTAAATAATAATACTTTACTTAATCTTCTTTAATAGTTAAGAGGTGAGCAACCAAGGGTGTGCTTGACAATGCAACAGCAAGATAGTACTTTACTGTGGTGACAAAAAGATGAAAAGAAAAAAAGTCCAAATTCAGTTATTCAAAATACTGTTAATTTAAAAGTATGCCAATATTACCTAAATGGCAAAGTGAAACATACAATAAAAGGGAAGCTAACTTAGAACATAAAGTAACACATCCCTGGCAGTGTTCCAGGCCATGTTGGATGGTGCTTGGAGCAACCTGGTCTAGTGGAAGTTGTCGTTGCCCACGGCAGAGGATTGGAACTGGATGGATGAGCTTTAAGTTCCCTCCCAGTCCAAACCATTCTGTGATTCTACTGAAGACTGACTGAATCAGATTCAAATAAAACGGCAATATGTCTGTTTGTTTTGTATGTTCACAGATAAGTACTTATTTTAGTAAAGATAAGTAGAAGCACTTGGCGTTCTGCTGGTTTCAAAAGTAAAGCTCCCTGCAAATTTTGCATGAGCACTGTTTTGCTTTCGAAAGTGAGCTACAAAGACCTAGCTAAAGAAGGGTTATTGACTTGTACCACACATTCCCAAAATACCATGGAAACAAAAGAACACCACACTTGCAGGTGCTGTGTCCACCTAATACTTGGATTTTCTCCTCTCACTGTCATGTAGAATCAACTGTAGTCAGTTCTACATGGTTCTGGTCTTATCTAATATAAACTGGGGGGGGGAAATAATAAATGTTATTAGCAGACTTCCCATCTTATCACTGCTTATTTGAAATATACCTGCTCCATTCACAAAATATGCAACCTGTACCATACTGGTACTGGAATTTCAATAATATAAGCACACAGCATAAAACACAGCTGGTTTTGACTCTAAGTCAGAGCACACTCCCTCAATGGTGCACATGAAAATAAAATACCAAATGACTCCTGCCACTATCTGCTCCTACCACTTTTGCAGGGCATGGACTGTCACTCTTGTGACTGCTAGTGTCTGTAGACCTTCTAAATTTCAAAACATATTAGTATTGGCTCACAACACAGCACACCATACCTAAAGTCCACAAAGTCCACTTCTAGAAAAAGGTAATACCAAAAGTCTCATTATATTCAAGGGAAAGCTTTAAAAACTGAATTTAATCCAGACCACATAGCAGTCCCCTAGGGGCTGTGTTTTGTTGAAGACTGATCATGCCTGCATTACTAGTGGAGTGGGCTCCTCACCTTCTTTTAAGTGATTTTACCTCCACAGCCCCTGCTGATGCAAGGAATAGTAACGGACTAAGGAAAGAGTTAAGAGTTTTCTTCAAACTATGCGTTGTCTTAACTTAGAATAGGGAACAGGTATGTTCTTGCCAGTTGAAACTGTAACTCAGAACAGAACAGGTATCTGAAAACACACGGTTTAAAACCTGGGGCCCTTTTCCCTCAAGAAGATGAATGTCTGACAAGAACCTGTTTTAGCTAGTCTCTCTGACACTTACGGTTGCCAGCTGGGTAAACTGTGCAACCGCCGCGTGAGATCGAAGCGCCGCGGCCAGGAACGGGTACCCTCAGTCATGGAGGGGCCCGCGCCCAACGCCTCCGACTCGCGGCCGGTTGGTCTCCAGGACAACCGCCGTTGGACGCCGGAGACTGGCGCCCGGCGCCATGACCGCGCAGCGGCCGCCGGGCCCACTCTATTTCCCACAGTTCCACGACGGCACCGAGCCCATCCGCCCCCCAGCCGACGGCGGCGCCATGCAGACTTATTTCGCGGACATGGGCTGGCAGCGACAGCCCCCGCCGGCCGCAACTGGGATACCCCGCTGGGCTGCGGCACTGGCGCCTATCGCCTACGAGCCGCTGCGGTTCTTCTGCCCGGCTCCTGCTGCGGAGGAGGGCAGGGGCGGGTCCGCGACGCGGCGGCCCGGAGAGCAGGATCGGCTGGAGGACGAGATCACCGAGCTGGGCATCCGCCTCAAGGAGCTGGATCTGATGGTCCTCGTCGGCGAGGGCTTTGACGCCCAGCAGTGTGCGTGTCCTCGGACCATGCCTCCCCTTGCTCCTTTACAGCAGGGCTCCAACGGGCCGAACACAGCCCGGCCCCACAGGCCGCAGGTTCCTCCAACAGTAACCGATGGGCAGGGGCAGTCCCAGATGCTTCTGCCCCACAGCGAAGTGCCTGCAGGGTTAGGTGTGAGGAGATCCAGATTTGGGGGCCCTGCACCTACCTGAGTCCCGACCACAAGCATCTGGGGTAGCATGTTGGGTGCAGGGAGCAAAACTGGTGTGTCATCTGCTGTGGTCGCTGGTCATGGACAACTGGCTGAGGGCACAAATTAAAGGAGAGACAAGAACTGCACATGTGGTTACTTATGCACAAATGGACAAAGCCCCTAGTGTCATTAAAAAAACCAAACCCATAAGTTGTTAAGTGTTAACAAAAAAATGCAGATGCCACTCAAATCAGAGGGAACATATACATGCACTAATGACATGCTGTGGTTGTAAATCAACGTTGATGTAAAGGCCACTGATAAGCACAGATAGGTTTCCTTGAAGGAAATACAGGAAATAACACAGTTCAGCAGGTTCTGATTACTGAGGGTTTCCAATAGGGAGCTGTAAAGATATGGTACTTATCATTTCCTTCAAGGCTGCAAGCCAGGAAGCTTTTGGGAGCACAAAGGTTACAAGAACAAACAAGAAATGTCCGTCAGATATTTACATTCAAAGCAAGATCTCAAAGGAATTCTGATAGGTAGTTTGTATATATTTACTTTTCAGAACAGGAAATCACTATTTTCCTTTGTTATACATCAATACATCCCTCCCTCCCCCCATTTTAATACTTATTGTTTTCAATAGATGTGAGAAACTTCAGTTTTCAGATATTTGCTAGCAAAGAAATTGTAAGGAATACTACTAGTTTGCTTAACACATTATTTGATTTTCTGAAAAGTAAAGTATTAATGACAGAATTAATGACAAATTATGTTTTGTTCATGTTTAGATAAACTTCTGAAGGCACAGAGGGAAGAAAAGATAGAACGCATGAAAGCAAAGCAGAAGCTGAAGAAATAGCCTCCACCGCAGTGAAGATTATTTCAGCTGGATATTCTAGCACTGTATCACCACAGAGTATTTTACTGGATCTTCAATATTATTTTTCTACTTGTTATATGCTGTTCTCCTACAAAATTAAAAAATACAGTATATTTTCCTGCTGAGCTTTTTTTTGTATATTATTTGTCTGGTACTAGTTACTGACAACATTACTATGTATCTCAACATTTTTTCTCCAGTTACTATAAGCAAATAGGATGGATAATATTTTCTTCAAAAACAATCAGAAATTAACACTTGTGATGTCAAGATTTGTAGCAGTGTGTTGATGATATGCAAGGTAAATGTAGCAGAGAAACACAGTAATTCCCATACAAAATACAAGTTGGTAGTGTTTTAATTCTAAGTACATATCCTAGTTTCATCTATTATTATTTATTTCAGCTGCTCAACTGTTCTTATCTCCACCCACTGGTTTGTTGATTCTCCTCCCCATCCCTCCAGGGGGCTGAGGAGCCAGCAGCTGCATGGTATTTAATTGCTGGCTGGGGTTAAACCACGACAGTCCTTTTTGGAGCCCAATGTGAGGCAGAAAGGTTAAACAGCTATTTAAGAGTTCCATGAAGAGATCTGCCCCAAGGCTGGATAGTTATGAATGGCAGGGTTTCAGGGATAGTACTGGCAAGTGTTTAGGGCAGTGGGCACTTCTGGTGCTTTGGAATTCTGCCCCTGACAAGTGCAGAATCTGGAAAAACTAGTAAAATATTTGGAATAAGTATCATGTCGCCCTGGCAATTACAGAGAGGCACTGCAACATGCTGGGACCTGGCCCATGCCTACCGAGCCCTGCTCAACACTATACAGTGCCCTCAAGTATCTGGATCTGATGGCAAAGCAACACTTGAAGCCCAGTGACAGGCACCACAGCTGAACCAGAAAACCAACCCATACCAGTATCAGCCACCCCTATATACAAGAAGAAATGGACAAGCAAGACATCCTGTTTGGTGAAGGAGGATGAAGCAAGGCCATTACAAGAACAGAAGGAAGAGGCAGAACCAGAACAAGAGGTAACCACTTGATCCCTGTCCCTGACTGAGCTTTGGCAATATCACACAGACCGAGACTCCCTGGTTCCCATCCAGAAGCTGATTTATCAACCAGAGACGTAAGGAGTGATCAGCAGGACCCACTCAACCTTTAACGGTCTCATATGGCCAGTCCAGAAGTCAGGTGGAGAATGGAGACTAACAGTAGACTATGATGGCCTGAATAAGGTCACACCACCAGTGGGTGCTGCTGTATCAGACATGCTAGAACTTCAGTATGAACTGGAGTCAAAGGCAGCCAAGCAGCATGCCACAGTTGATATTGCTAATGCACTTTTCTAAGTACCTTTGGCAGCAGAGTGCAGGCCACATTTTGCTTTCACTTCCAGAAGCTTTCACTTGGAGTCAATTGCTCCAGGGGTGGAAACACAGCCCTACCATCTGCCATGGACTTATCCAGCCTGCACTGGAATAGGGTGAAGCTCTGCAACACCTGCAATACATTGATGATATCACGGTGTGGGGTGTTACAGCAGAAATTTTTGAGAAAGGAAGGAAAATAATCCAAATCCTTCTGAGGGCCGGTTTTGCCATAAAACAGAGTAGGGTCCTGCACAGGAGATTCAGTACTTAGTTGCTGGTTGGGGTTAAACCATGACCATACATTAAGTAAGTGCAACTGAGAATAAATATGTATGGTTAAAACTCCTATGGCTCTAAGCAAGCTTTAGAATACTACTTTGATGTTATCATAACAGCATACCACAAAATTATAGAAGTTATGGCTTTAGTTAGTTTTTAACAGAATAGCTGTGTACCACCAACTTTCAACTAACATTTTACAGTTATTTTAGAACAGATAGTGCTTAGGCTAAAGCCTGTGTCTGTTTTTAGAGTGATAATATCTTTATGTTTGGAAGACACATCCTTTCCTGAGAAAATATGGACAGGCACAGCAATGGCAGAATGAAGATCTGGAGAGCAACTGCCTTTAAAAAAAACAAACACCATATATATATGGCATCAAGAATAACCTAACAAAGTAGTAAACAGGCTCATCAGACTGATAGAAAACCTGCAATAAACAATTACTTTTGCCTGTTCTGTTTCAAGAGCAGTAGGTGGCAGCATGAAATAATAGTTACCAACCCTGAAGCTAGTATTTTGTCAAGCAGGGCGGTTTTTTTCCTAGAAGATCAGTATTTTAATCTGTTGGGTTTGGTTGGTTGTTGTTAAAAAAAAAAAAAAACCGCAAAAAACCAAACTTGCATTCAAGTTGCTTGACTGTGACACATTTTAACAATATGATATCCAAATTTTATTTTGTATTACTGCTTATTACAGCATTCACTCTTTTGCTATCTTCATCTTTCCAGCCGGACTTTGATCTACCCTACACAGAGTTTATATTAAAAAAATATCTAGCTTATTGTCAATCATCTAACTATAATAATCACATTTTACCCGAGCAGCTAGGAGATCTTAAACAGAATCTTACCGTCCGCAATTGCCCCTGTCAGGCGGGCGTCTCTGCCAGTATGGCGAGTCTCGGTTTCACCTGCTAGTCAATATGCTCTTTAATGACACAGAGCCTGAGCAGGGCCGGGGCAATGTGGTAAGGCCAGGTTTTGTCCGCATACCGGTATGCCTCAGGTACGGCGAGGTGAGGGACTGTGCAGGAAGACAGGACCACCTGTACAACAGGCCCATGGAGGGTCTCACCAACGCAGCCCTCAAACCCGGAAAGCCCCTCACAGGCACTCCTGAAGCACAGACCAGGCCTAGCTGGGAGCCGGGGCCTGAGGTGAGATGCATCTCCTGGGCCTGTGGGGCAGACAGTCCATGTGGTAGAGCCTGGTCCAGCTGGCCCAGGGCCCTGTCAGCTGCCTGCCGGTTAAATGTACACAGGTCAACAGTGAGCTTCCCGTTTTGCACTCCAAATCCATCATATGCTACAATATAAACACCCTCCCTCTTCAGCTTGCTTAAATCTACTCTTCAAGCCCACCTTGGCACCATTTAATTGCTGCTTAGTTCTTTAAAGCCTATTTAATGATATTGTTCTTCTGGCTCAACAGTTCAGTTTTCAATAGTTGGCATCCTTTAAGCTATTTTACTACAGACAGCACAGTACAAGTGGGCTTCTTAAATGAAATATTTTTACACCTGGTCATCAAATGCTCACGTAATCACTGATGATTTCTCTTTCTCTTTTCAAACATAGCGTGGAGACTGAGGCAGGAAATATACAAAAGATAAATCTAGGTGACTAAAGAACCAAATTATCACTCAAATAACTTGGAAATTTGGGCCTCAGTGGTTTACAGCTCCCTCTGCAGAATGAAGTCATTCAAAGAGTTTTGAGGGTAAACCTGTGGAACTGATACTGAAACGGTTAATTACTATGAAAATGTGATCTGTAGTAGTACCTAAATACACAAGACAAACTCAGACATGAAATAAAATGGACAATATACAGCAGCCTTTAAAGTCCTCACACAGAAGAGCTTTTAGACCAAGGTATATAACAGCAGAGCTCTTCATTTTCCCAAATCTCCAGAATAATTTCACTCCTAAACCCCTCCAAGTTTTCCATGGTTATTGCAAAGGCCTACAAGAATTTCCATTACATATGATTGTGAGGTATATAGGAATGATTCGTGTCAGCAACTTAGGAGTCCTTGTCATCATTGTACTTTGAGTGGAATCGAAAATCACCTGTAGAATGTATACGAATGATCAGATTAAGATAGATGTTCCTGTCAATACAATGATGAAAGAGAAGAAGAAACAAAGGAATAATCTTTCCTAATCAAACACTGTTACTTTAAGGGGTACTTTGTTTAATTACTTGAATGTCTCAAACGGTTTGCTAATTACAGGGGTACTTTGTTTAAGTGCTTGGATGCCTTGAGGGGGTTAGGTAATCAAGAGATACCTTCTGTTACAGGATGAGGTGAAACTTGTATATTGAATAAGTAACTATATAAGAAATGGAATTTAGGGGGGCTAAGATGGTGGTTAAGCTTGTGACAGACATCCCCTGTTAATGTATTGCCAAGGAATTCAATAACTTTTTAAGAAGTTTCTTCACCCAAAGATAAGACCCCAGCAATAGGAGGAGAACAATGAAAACTACGTCGATATTTGGGCGAAGGAGATGACAGGATTGGTTGAAACCCAAGACCGAGGAGTATAAGAGACTGTACCCCAGAAATCTCGGTGTGCATCTTGGGTGGAGCGGAGACTCCCCGGCACACGCAGCGCTGCTTGCTTATTGCTTCTCGATATTAATCAACTGTAATAAAAAATTAATTAAATCAGATCATGGCCAAGACGGAATTTTTATAACATGATGACCGCTTTTTATCTGTTACTTTACCTCACTTTTTATCCACTCTTTCTCTTTGCATCCATGTGGGGAGTGAAGGCTATAAGATTTGCATGAAAAAGAGTTCAGGAATGAGCTCTGAGGCCTTGGTGCTTTGACAAGCCCTGGGGCAATGAGCTGGGGCCTTGGAGGCCAGACAGTGTGGGGGCTGTGAGAGGGTCTGCAACATTGTGATTGGACTATTTACCTGGAGAGCTTCACAGTGGCCAATGAGATTGAACGTTGTATGTATGTGCAGGTTGGGAAAGTACCAAAAAGGGCATAAAAAGGGCTTGGTGATAATAAACGAGGATTTGAGTCTCCGCATCAACTTGAGTCCATGTCCTGATATGCCACACATCCAGCTCTCATTAGCCATTATTCACTGCACATTTCTTGGCTTAAGCAGAGCTACTTTTCCCAACATACAGTTTAAGAGTTTTTTTCCATCTGTTCTTCAGTTTGTCATATGGCCTTTATCTTAAAGCAACACTTCACGTTTAATTACTGGGTGATAATGTAAGGAATAACACCTGGAAAAAAAAAAATCACTGTTTGTCCTTTCAGTCAGAAAATACTAAATATTTCAATGGAAAATACTAACACATGAATTTGGCTAGAGAGTAATAAGCTTGTATTAATAGTTTGGACATACAACCAGTTAATAGTACATATGTCAATTTTAACTGTCCATAAACCTTTAATTTTCTTCTCTGTATCCACCTGATCTTGTTACATCCTGTAGT